CTCCAGTGTCCTTTTGAAGAGATCACTGGTGAAGTTGGTACCACAGTCACTTTGAATCTCCCTGGGAAATCCGTATTGAGTGAAGATCTTCAATAGATGTTTTATAACCGTAGCAGCCGTGATGTTCTTCACTGGAACTGCTATGGGAAATCTGGTGGTAGGACACAGGATGGTTAGGATGTAGGCGTTACCTGAACTGGTCCGAGGTAAAGGACCAACACAGTCTATTATGAGTCTGTGGAAAGGTTCCGCAGGCACCTGTATGGGAATCAGTGGTGCTCTGGGAATGGAGACGTTCGGTTTGCCTGCCATCTGACATGTATGACACTGTTTTACGTACTGTTTGACGTTATTTACCATACCTGGCCAGTAGTAGTCTTGACGAATCCCATGGTAAGTCTTGTTGAAGCCGTAGTGGGAGAATGCTCCGTGGGCCAGGTGTAGAATAGTGGGCCGCAGGCTGGTGGGAATCACAAGTTGTTCGATGTTGGCCCAATCGTCCTCCTCCTTCAGTTTACTGGGTCTATATCTGCGGTAGAGCAAGTCGTTCTCCAGGAAGAACCCAGGAATACTGTCGGGTTGAGTCTCAGCCTGGAAAAACAATGGTGTTAAAGTAAGATCTTCCCTCTGCAACTTACGGAACTCCAACTTGGTCAGATGCGGGGGTAGTTTCTGAGGGTCATGAGGGACAGCGGTAGCAGTAGAGTCAGCTGGCTGTGGACGTGCGGCTTGTGCACGGGTGGTCACGAGAACCGGAGGAGAAACTTCATCACTCTCTTGAACCTCTGCTGGAACATACTCTAGAATAGGGATTATTGGCACAGAGTTACACACCTGGGGTTTGTCCATGACGATCAGGTTGGTCGGTTGCAGGTCTTCTGCCAAGTCGTTGCCTAGGAGAAGTTGCACTCCAGGCATGGGAAAAGGCTTTTCCCTGACGGCGACTTGGATTTCCCCGTTCACGTAGGGACAATCCAGGTGGACTCGGGCGAGAGGGTATGGAGTGGTAGCAGTGAGGTCAGTGATGAAGACAGTTTCTCCGGTGTAGACGATGTTGGGCACAGCCGACTTCAAGATGATCGATTGTAGAGCCGCTGTGTCCCTCAAGATCTTCAATTTGAAACGTCCCTCCGGATTTGAACCGTTGGCAGAGACAGTTCCAGTATACAGGTGGTTACTGAAAAGAGAAAGATCATTAACATCAACACCAACATTCATCACAGGCTTACCGGACTTAGGAGGAGTTGGTTTGGGTCTTTGTTGGTCAGTGGTTCCCTTGTATTGAGACTTACCACACTTGTCTATGGTATGTCCATAGAGTCTACAATACTTGCAGTACAGTTGTGAACCAGCTTGATCGGGGCTCACCTTCTCGTAACTGTACCACGACTTCTTACTGGAGGATGGTTCGGGTGTCAGCCGGTGGATGAGGCTGTAAGTGTCAGCCGACTTAGCACACTTCAGGTAGTCGGTTTCTTCTTTATCTGCTAAGTAGAGGCGGACAGGAGGTGGCACACGTCTCAAGAATTCTTCAACAAGCATCAGGTTGACGAGTTCTGTAAAAGTAGAGACATGTGCTGCTTCCAGCCATTTCATGAAATACCTCCGTTTCGTGTTAGCAAACTCAAGGAAGGTAGTGGTACTTGCCTTCAGGTGGTCACGGAATTTCCTTCTATAACTTTCAGTAGAGAGGAGGTAGGCGTCCAACACTGCTTGTTTCAGAGTGTGGTAGTCATTCTCAGACGCCAAAGTACTGAGGGTGACTGCAGCTCTACCTGTAAGATGGACTCTGAGAAGTGTGGCCCATTGGTCGACAGGCCAACTGAGTTGATTAGCAAGGGTTTCAAAGGTGGTAAAGAACACATCAACTTCTGCTTCTACAAAGGATGGCATTAACTTACTTGCATGTGATATATTAAAACTGACGGGAAGATTGGCAGTAGCTTGCTGGCGTTGAGTGAAGTGTGAAGTTTCCAAGGCGATTTCGCGTTGACGACACTCTAGAGCCAGAGTCGCTTGTTGCTTGTCATGTTCGCGTTGTATTTCCAACTCGCGTTGTTTGGTTTCAAGCTGTACTCGTTCACGTTCACGGAGTAATGCGACCTCACGTTCGTGTTCTTCTCTCCTCAAAGCAGCTTCGCGTTCTTGTTCGTCCCTTCTCAAAGCAGCTTCGCGTTCGTGTTCTTCCCTTCGTATGGCAGCTGCTTCTCTTTGCTGCTCACGTTCAATCTTGGCCAGCTCTAGTTTAAGTTTCATCGTTGCCAAGTCAGTTTTCTCTGCAATATAGTAAGTTTCATGAGTTTCAGAGTCTATCTTACCTTGCTCTAAATAGTAATCCAGCAACAGGTTGTGTAGGTCATTTTTGTTGGCTTGGTAGGGAACTTCTAGTTGATACTCATGTGCAAGAGTTTGTAATTCAGTCCTCTTGGCACGACTTAAAGTCCCTATTTCACCTGCTGGATTTGTACGGAAAGCTTGGAGACGAAACATGGTGAAATTAGCAAATAAAGGTACACGAATATTCAATAGTGAATGTCAGAAACAGGACAACGTGGCAACTGGTACCTATCCTGTGAGATCTTTAACAATTAAAGTTAAGTAAAAGATGGTAAATGATTAAATTAAATCAAGGGCGCAGGAAATCTTGTACCCGGTACTCATGTAAGAGGATAAGGGCAAGAAAATCCTACTAACAAATGAAACAGAGTTTCGAAAACAAATGAAACAGTTAAATGCTTCAAAAGTAAAATTGGTAGTCCAAGGATGTAGGCATACCTTGCCAAGTCTCTATAGGACATAAAGCAAGTTTTTCCTACTGAATTTAATATGATACTTACAGAATTAGCGAACTTTTGTGCTCTGAAAAGTAAGCTAATTCCCTACCGTTGTATGTATCATCATCTCTGACTGACGTGTAGGGGTGCGAGGTGTCAACTGGTGACGAGAACTGCTGCTGAGGTCCCAATTCAGCAACTAAAGTTCGAGCTAGAGGAACTATAGCCCTCTTTGTCCTCCTACAGTCAGATTGCAGAAGATTGGGTACTCTTGACCCGGGGCAGACCACAGTACCAGGGTACCAATATGAGGATCTGTCAAAATGAGAAATATTCAAGGGACATAGATGGTAAACACGAGTAATAACACGGAGGGAGAGATGACCAATTAAGAGTATGACTGCGGCCTACAGTCACCACGTAATCCAAAGTTGTCTCACCTTCACTATATGTTACTCTCGTAATGCACAATACACCGCACCTTATAAAAAAATGAAATTGAATATGAAAAATAGTAAAGCTACGTTAACAAAGTTAAATACGCTTACCATAAATTACCACTTGGCACCAGTACCCGAGTGAAGCTCCTAGGACAGGCCCCCATATAACTTGTGACGGTATCGCGTTGGTGTTCGGCTGTTTAAGGCTAGGGGTATGGCCTCGTCACATAGTTATAAAAAAAAATAGAAAAACTGGAACTTCGTCTGTGGTAAGGTAAGGAGAAGACACACAAAACACAAGTAAACTTTAACAATGAAATTTTAATTACGTTAAATAAATCAAAACATGAAAAAATGGACAAACAAATTTGTATAATAAAATCAATCAATCAAAATAATAAGAATAATTAAATGACACAATGAAAAGTTACGTTAAGATAAAATAACAAGAAGTGCAACACAAAATAAAGGGAAGGTGCTGGAATATTGGCTTTAAGCTACCACCTCTCTCAGTACACGCTAACGTCTAGCCGGGAGTAGTGGTAACCACGAAAGCACTGAATATTCTGAGGTCTGAGGTCGTGGCGACCCCAGACATCAAGTAGTATGGGGGGGCGAGTGCAGTTGCAGCCCGGCCGGCGACCAATCAGCGGAGCCGGTAGCGATCAACAGGTAGTTTGGCGGTTTGAGTCTGAACAGGTGTCTCTGGCTGCAACGTTTTGCGCTCTGGCAAACCTTGCTGGTGTTGTTGTCGTTGTTGGACATTTCTTCCCTAGTAGTTTTATATAATTTCTACGACGTAATTGTGGAGGGAAGAGCAGGCTCAATCTCTTGAAGGAGATTATCTAACAGGACGTGATCACTCTTTCCCAAGGGAGGAAGGTTCCGCGAGCGCTATGTCATGGGTTCGTATCCTGGCCGGGGAGGATTTACTGGGCGCAATTCCTTAACTGTAGCCTCTGTTTAACGCAACAGTAAAATGTGTACTTGGATGAAAAAACGATTCTTCGCGGCAGGGGATCGTATTCCAGGGACCATAGGATTAAGGACTTGCCCGAAACGCTACGCGTACTAGTGGCTGTACAAGAATGTAAATGTAAGGTACTGGATGTCAAATATCTCTTCTTCTTTCCTGGTGAATACTTGATCCAGTACTGACAGTACATCTGCTTCCCTCATTCTTGTGGCCTGCTTTATGTGTTGATACAAGAATGTCTCCAGAATGAGGTTCACAAAATGAGTCACCTCACAGAATGAGGTGTGTGTGTGTAATTATCTAACTGTAATTACCTAAATGTAGCTGCAGGATGAGAGCTACTCTCAGTATCCCCTGTCTTCTCAGTACTCTTTGTCATGTAACGCTTTGAAATTACTTACAGTTTTGGCCTCCACCACCACCTTACTTAACTTGTTCCAACCGTCTACCACTCTGTTAGCAAAAGAAAATGTTCTAATGTTGTTTCAGCACCTTTGTTTCCTTAGCTTAAATCCATGTCATCTCATTTGTGAAGTTACTGGTTTCAGGAATTCCTCTTTATCAATTTGGTCAATTCCTGTTATTATTTTGTAAATGGTGATCATATAACCTCTGTTTCTTCGATTTTTTAGCTTTGACATGTTCAATGCTTCTTTATTAAAGTTCTGCAATTCCTTTCCACATAATTTGTAATGTGTGTGTGTGAGGTTATTTGCTTTAACCACAATATTGTGACTTAATTCTCTGGATTTAATTTACTTTTCTGTACCATATGACAATTAACATGTTTGAACATGATTCTTTATACAGAAAGAGTCGTTAGGTGCACCATCTGAAGGCCTCACGGAAGTCACGTTCAAGAAGTCTGTGCCAATGGTCACCTACCTTGTGTGCTTTATTGTGTGTGACTTCACATTTAAAGAGGTAAAGATTTATATTTACTTACATATTGATATTACTGTACCTAGCATTGCTTTCCTACCCTACTTATGACATGCAGTATAGAGGTATGCTCTTTATGCCATTGAGGATTCTCTCATTCATAGAAGTATTCAAGCTTATCCATTATCCCACTTATAAGTGTTGCCTTCTACTATCATTGGTAGGTTAAATATAGAGACATTCCTGCTATTCCAGTGATGATTCTTGGCTGCCACTTCCATTCATAGAAGTTCTGTATAGATAAATGTTTTCTGGTAGGCACCCCATGGTGGCTCCTTGAAGTTGTCTTGCCGAGATGGCTTTCCGTTACTGTGTCACATCAGTGACGGGAGTCCTGGCCTACTGGGAACTAGAGCCAGAACCTGGTGTCTCTCAAAGACTTGGAGAGTGGAGAAAATATTCTCATCACCCTGCCAGAAAAGCATCCAGAAAATCAGGCATCCAAATGTTGTTAATATGTGCACAATGAGTATTACACTGTATATTCTTTGAACAATAAAACATACTCATTTTGTTGTTATTACACAGTACTGTATATACATGTTTTATATAACTCTGTACATGCTTATGTACAGTACTTCCTCACTCTAACGAACCCCGCTCTATCGAATTCCCGGATGATCCGAACAAATTGAACTCTGTACCAAATGTTCAGTGGAACATACAAATGTTCAGTGGAACATACAAATGTTCAGTGGAACATACAAATGTTCAGTGGAACATACAAATGTTCAGTGGAACATACAAATGTTCAGTGGAACATGCAAATGTTCGCTTAAGTGAGGATTGTTCGTCCGAGCGATCACAGAGATCGAGCTGTCATAGTTGATGACAGCCACTGTCATCAACTATGATTCACCAAAGTGTAAACAGTTGTACAGAATTATATTTTGCTTGCCTATTGTTTCCAGTGAGAAATGGTTGAAGGATGATAAAATGGTGTCAGAAGAGTCAGGTTGTGTCAGATGTTGTCAGGGGAGGCAGGTGGTGTCAGATGTTGTCAGGGAGACAGGTGGTGTCAAATGTTAGGGGAGGCAGGTGGTGGCAGGTAGTGTCAGATGTTAGGGGAGGCAGGTGGTGTCAGGGAAGGCAGGTGTTGTTAGGGGAGGCAGGTGGTGTCAGGGGGAGGCAGGTGGTGTCATGGGAGGCAGGTGGTGTCAGGGGGAGGCAGGTGGTGTCAGGGGGAGGCAGGTGGTGTCAGGGGGAGGCAGGTGGTGTCAGGGGGAGGCAGGTGGTGTCAGGGGGAGGCAGGTGGTGTCAGGGGGAGGCAGGTGGTGTCATGGGAGGCAGGTGGTGGCAGGGGAGGCAGGTGTTGTTAGAAGGAGGCAGATGGTCAGGTGTTGTCAGGAGGAGGCAGATGGTCAGGTGTTGTCAGGAGGAGGCAGATGGTCAGGTGTTGTCAGGGACACACTGTCTGCTTTTCACCAAATTAGCTGAGAAAATGTTATCATTTCAGTTGTTTGTAACACATTGCTCTATCATATTCTGTAATCAAAATGAAGAATTTATAATAAATGATGTCAATGATGTTGGGGGGGGGTGGTAAGGCATCAGGGAACAGGAGGGTGTGAGCAGAGACCTGTCAACCAGTCGTTCGACTTTGGATCCTGTCTCTGTGCAGTGCTGTTCCTTTGCGGTGTTATTCTGCTGTGTTGTGGTGTGTGTGTCGTGAGTAATTCACGGAGTACTGGAACTGCATACGCCTAGGGCCGTCTTCCCTAGGTGCCCTGTAAGTACTGCCATTGCGGCTTGGGGTTATCTTCCACAAGTCATTCAGGGACTACCTCTGTAGGGATCTTTTGCTGCTTGGTGATTGCGCGCCCTTGGGGTCAGCTGGGGGTTTCATAGCTGCTGTTTGATCTTGGGTAGGAGGTAGTATCATCACTGGTAGGGGTGTAAGGTACTGTGCAGCTTGTCACCTATTATCACAGTGGCCAGTTCTGTTCCTCCTGGTGACGTTGTACTTTTGCAGGGTTTTTCTTTTCTTTTTGTTTGTTGTCTGGTGGGGGGGGTCTGCCACTTGGTTGTTATTCACCCTCTGTTATTCTGGTGGTACCCCGCTTGGTCCCCGTGATTGTACACGTCGCAGGGATTCAGCTTCAATTGTTCCCTCGCTAGTTTGGGCCAACCGGTTAGCAGTACCTTACCTGGGTTTCCCTAAGCAGTCAGCCTAAAGGCCCTGGAAAACCCCATTGTTCTCATTGGTCTCATGGATGTGTTCTCTGGGTCCCATCTCGCCTTCTGTGAGTTCGAAGGTTGTTCTGTCCTCCTTGTCTCAGAGTGACATTCACCGGTTTTGCCTCTGTCATGCTGCCTGTTGGGTCAATGACACCTTTGACCTTGAGTCCTGCAAGTGGTGTTCCTTACTGGTGCTCCAATTCACCCAATCCACTGATACTAATAATCGGGTGCAGGCAGCTTCGGCGTTGCATGCAAGGTTTAGGTTGCTGCAACACAATAGGTTGGTTGCCTTTCCGGATGACCCGTGGCTGCCCCGCTTTGGTTATAGGGACTCGGACTTGGGGGCATTATTCGCTTTGACTTTGGTTTCATCTGCGCCCGCTCGTTCTTCCCCTGCTGTTATTTGTCCTGCTCCCCTTCCCCTGCTGCTGGCTCCCAAACGTCTAAGGGTTTCGGAGTCGGGGCAGGGTCTAGATGGTGGTGAGACTTGGGCGGTTTTTGGGGCTGCCCCATCTGGTTCAACAATGGAGGCATTAGAGCTTGCTCCTCCAGCCGGGGCGTCGGGGTCTGACCAGCGGACCCTCTTTTCCCAGCTTTTCCGGTGGACTTTGCCTTTTCTTTAGGGATGGAGGGTTTGGAGGACAGCTCTGCCATAGGTTCTGGCGTGGAGGATCCCGGGGGGCGGGGAGGAGTTGACTTTGGGGGCTTGGGTCCCGTTTGACCCCGTTACAGGGGGAGAAGTTTTCATACCCCCCCCCCCCCTCCCTATGTGAATTTGATACGAGTTCTGCTTCTCCCCGGGTTTGGTTCCGGGTTCTCTTAAGTTCTTCGGTCCCTTCCTTTCGGAGGTTTTTGGCATCCTGCCTAAGGAGGTTCAGGAGGCCATTGCAGCGTACCTCCTGTGTAACCCAGATTGTGCCTCGATAATGGACCCTGCCTCGTTTGAATTCAGTTATACTCTTCCTTATTGGGTGCGTTACGAGGTGTCGGAGTCATCCTGGTTAGCAGACTGCCCTTTCTTTTCTTTGGGAGTATGGCATTTGTTCTGTCAGACCTGCAAGCTTGAATGGCAGGAAACTTCTACGGTTGTTCAGGTTTACCTGGGGGGTGAGTTGGAGCACCTCAATGTGTGCTTATTCACCCCTGTTCTTCCTAATGATACTGGCCAGGTGCAGCTTCACATGCAGGTTCCTGTCCTTTTGGCATCCCTGGTAGCTGAGGATTTGCGTGCCCAGGAGTACTTGACATCGGTTTTGCATTTTTTTTCCCTGCTAGAGCTGTCTTCGGACTGGCTTGAGGAGGATGTGGAGGTGCTAGGTGCAGGGCCAGTGTTGGGTGCACTTGCATCGGAGGCTCGGGCATCGGGTGCCTTGTTGTAGTTGTTTGCGCCAATTCTGAAGGCGGCTGTGTCTTTGTTCTTTGATTCTCACCTCGTGTGCCGGCTGGCTATGCTCGCTCACTTCCTGGAATCCATGTGGGCCCTGGCTCTTATGTTTTTGTCACCCTTATGTCCATTGTCTTTTGCTGATTCTGTGGTTGTGTAGTATCTGCAAGTGACTTCGTCTAGCTGTTACCCTATGTCTGACCAGTTGGTTCTCTGGGGTGGCAGTGGGGGTCTTTCATGGATGATTCGTGCCAGGGTTTGGGGGTACCTTCGATCATGGTAGGCCAGTGGTGCTGGTTTCAGAACCGGCGTTGCCTTTCAAGCCGGTGGCAGCTGGTCATCGCAGTATTCGCTCTGCCCGTCAGTCGGCTGCTAGTAAGGAGTGCCGGCACTTTGGTGGGTCGCCCCGTTGACGGGGGCAATGGGGGGGACCACTTTGCATCGGTATGGTTGAGGAGTCTCCCGATATGTGGTGCCCTTTCCTGATTGCGAGGCCATCAGGGTCACTGTCTTTCGGGTGGACTGGTCGAGGTGGGGTTACCTTTACCTCTGTCCCCCTGGTTCCGCTGTTGCTTCAAGTTCTGGCTCAGTTGGAGACTTACCGGGGAAGAGTTGCCCTGTTGAACCCTTGGTGGTCGGCCCAACTTTGGTTTCTGGCGCTGTTTGTTGGGTGTCCGAACCTGGGAACTTTACCACAGCTCCGCCTCTTCCAGCAGATCAGTCCACTCCGGTACGTGGCTGTTTCGATCTTCTCCACTGATCTTCGCATCTGGTCTTTCTGACATGGGTCTATCACCACTTGTATGGTGATCAGGTGACTTCGTTGATGGTGTCCCACCTGTGTATTTCGTCTCGGCAGTAGTATGAAGTTTCCTGGGGGGGAATGTGCTTTCATCTTTTTTTGTCTCTTCGTAGGTTGTCTTCAGTTTTGGATCAGATTGTTTTGTCCATTCTCTCTTGGCTGTTTCAGGACCGTCATCTTATGCCGAATACTGTCACCTGGTAACATGTTGTGCTGGCGGAGCCACTCAAGCTTGTGTTCAGGGTGGATGTTACTGCCGCTCCGTTTTGCAAGTTGTCTTGGTGTTGTTTCACCACTGGCCTGCTCATGCACCGCCTGAGCTGTCCTGGTCGTTAAACCAGGTGCTCTCTTCTCCTGGGTTTGTGGTGGCCCCTTCGGTTTGGGATTGTTTTGATAAGGCTCTTTTCTTGTTGGCATTGGCCTTTGGGGGTCGGGTCAGGGAGCTTCATGCCCTCTGGTGCTGGGGTTTCTGCTCTTCTGGTCCTGGTAGTAGGTTTGTTTGTTTGCAACTGTTGTCTTCTTTTCTTCTTGGCGAAGAACGAGATGGCAGATTTCCGAAGGGGTACTTGGGTGGTTGATGCTTGGCTGCTTCGGCTGGTAGTGCATCATGTGTTGTCCGGTTGCGGCTCTTTGCCGTTATTTGCGTGCCACGGCCTTGGTGGCCGGGGATGAGCTTTGGGTTGACTCGGTTTCCCTTCTCTGTTTCAGGGCTCAGGTCTCCCAGATTGTCAGCAGGGTTATTTGGTCCAGCCAGCCTGCAGTCTATCCTTGCACCCATAATGTTCGCAAATTTGCTACTTTAGCTGCCGTTTTTGGCACTGTCTGTTTCTGTTTACATTTAAACAGCCTTGGTGGCTCGACTTCTCGTTGAGGTGCAAGTGGCGGTCGCCTCCTGGGTAAGTCCCTCTTACTTTTTCTGTGATTAGGTAGCTTCAGAGAGCCGGAGGGGTTCTCCACAGAGCGTATCTGATTGTGTCATGCAGGGTAAGGTTAAATTGTAACTTAGCAGAGATACTTTAGCCAAATTGGTTTCAAATATACCAACAAAAAATAGGACATCAGACAATAGATAAAAATTAAACAAAAATTTAATTTAAGGAAGACCTGGGTAAATAATGGTTTGGAGATACTGTACTGGTTGTTGATTTATGGAACAAATAAATGGGTAACATAATAAATGTGAGATTAATTGATTGTTTCTAGTTTAGGTTAGACATATAGATATGAATAAGTTTAGGTGGATATAAATAGAAGATACTTTATATGGGTCAATAGCCCTTTTACAGTTTCATTTATTCTTATGTTTTTATTTGCTGATACAGGGGGTATCTTGGTTTAAGAGTTTAATCCGTTCCTGGAGACGGCTCGTAACCCGAAAACTCATAAACCGAAGCTAATGTCCCCATAAGAAATAATGGGAAATGAATTAGTCTGTTCCTGATTACCCAAAAACCTCACTTCAAACTAAATTTTATACCTAATTCATCGAAATCTACAATACAAAAGTATGTTCAAGTTATTACTTACCCTTGCTGATGACTGCTGTTGGTGTATGGAAGATGGTGAGGAGGAGGGGTGTTACTGTTTGGAAGGGGAGTCCCCTTCCATTATAGCATCAGGCAGTGAGGACCTCTCTGGAGTGCATTCTCTGGCACGTTTTGCCTGCATACCACTAGGTCTGGGTTGTGGCTCACTGCTTGGTTTTCTCACAACAAAGCGGTCCATTAATGATTGTTTTTCCCTTCTTTGCAAGATGTTTCTGTAGTGAGGCAACACATTGTCATTGAAAAGATTTATGCAACGGCCTACTACAGCTTTCTCTGGGCGAGTCATTTAAATAAAAGTTTGCATTTCTTCCCACATCTGACACCACTTTGTGTCAGATGTGGAGGATATTTGCTGCTGCCTCATCCTCCTTCACTGGAGAAACATCCTCAGCTGTGTCTTCTTGCTGTTCCTTTTGAAGGGCTTGGAGTTCTTCGGTGGTCAGTTCTTCGTTGTGTTCTTCCACCAACTCCTCCACATCACCACCATCCAATTCCAAACCCATTTGCCGGGCCAGAGTAACAATTTCCTCAACAATAGGCACATCATTTACAAGCTCAAACCCCTCAAAGTCTAGTTCTGTCACACATTCAGGCCACAATTTTCTCCAGCCAGAGATCAGGGTTCTTTGAGTCACTTCTTGCCAGGCTTTGTCATCGAGTTTAAAAGAACTACAAATGTTAAAATGGTCTTTCCAGAATTCATTGAGGGTGAGTTTTGTGGCTTCAGTCACTTCAAAACATTTCCAGAAAAGTGCCCTTTCATAAAGTTTCTTAAAATTCGCTATGATTTTCTGGTCCATAGGCTGAATTAGAGGAGTGGTGTTAGGAGGAACAAACTTTACTGTGAAAAATTTACTGTATCTGTGCAAAAAATCATCTTCCAAACCTGGAGGATGAGCAGGAGCATTGTTGAGGAGAAGCAGGGCCTTGAGTGGCAAATGTTTCTCCTGGAGATATTTTTCTATGGCAGGGCACACCACTTCATTCACCCACTCCGAAAAAAAAATCCTAGTCACCCATGCCTTATTATTAGCCCTCCACGTCACACACATTTGGTTTTTCTGCACTTTATGCTGTTTGAAAACCCTTGGATTTTCAGAATGATACACAAGCAAGGGTTTAATTTTCAAATCGCCACTCGCATTTGAACACAGGACAAGCGTAAACCTATCTTTCATAGGCTTGTGTCTGGGCAATGCTTTTTCCTGCTTGGTAATGTATGTCCTCTTAGGCAATCTTTTTCCAGAACAGTCCTGTCCCATCACAATTAAACACTTTTCACGGTAGGTATCCCTCAGCCTCTGCAAACTCTTTAAATTCTTCAATAAATCGTCCAGCGGCTGGTTTGTCTGAGCTGACTGCCTCCCCATGCCTCGCAACACTATGGATACCACTTCTTTTTCTAAATTTCTCAAACCATCCCCTGCTTGCCTTAAAGTCTGTCGTATTTGCATCACTCGTTGCAGGGGTTTTCTTTACAAGGTCTTCGTGCAATACCCTGGCTTTCTCACAAATGATGGCCTCAGAAACACTATCACCTGCTAACTCCCTATTGTGTATCCAAAATAATAACAACTTTACCACTTCCTCAAGTATTTGTGGTCTTTGTTTCGTGATTGTTGATATGCCTTTTGCCACTTTAGCACTCAAAATGTCCTTTTTCTTGGCAAGTATAGTGCATATTGTTGACGTGGATTTGTTGTACTGCCCACAAAGTTCAACAACATGTGCACCATTTTCATGCTTCCGAATGATCTCTTGCTTTTCCTCTATTGTCATCCTCACATGAGATTTCTTGCCTTGAACCTTACCACTGGCTTTCTTGGGACCCATTGTGATATATATAATAACAAATTTTATGGTCAAATAGCAAAAATTCCAAAAAGAAACAGTAAATCCTGGTGAAGAATTCAGTCGGGATAGTCACTGGGCGCGAGGCACTGGTAAACTGAGCGGTGATTGCTAGATCGCGCTAGATCGGCCTGTACGCGTATCAACACACTCGTATCCTGAAGCAATGCTTGTATCCCGATGTAAATTTTCCGAGCTAATCCTGCTCGTAACCCGAAAAGCTCGTAACCAGGAATGCTCGTAATCCGAGGTACCACTGTATGTCGGTACGGAGACCAAGAATCTCCAATATTTGCTGATGTAGGTGTGGGTATGGAGACCAAGAATCTCCAATATTTGCTGATGTAGGTGTGGGTATGGAGACCAAGAATCTCCAATATTTGCTGATGTAGGTGTGGTTCATACCCACCAAGAATCTCCAATAAATATGGATTCTTTCTTAATGTAAGTAATGTAAGTAAATGTACATTGTAACCCACTTGCAATGTACATTTATGTGTTGAAATCTTAATAGGGTTATATTTTCTTACTAAACTACAGTAGAGCATTGTATATAACATTGTGTTCATAGCACTGACCCAAGTCATTCTTTTTACAGAGCTCTTCCAAAAGGCTCCAACAGCCATACCCTTTGTATAAGTGAAGGTCTAATATAAAGTTAGCCATAATTATATCATAGATTATTTACCTGAAATGAACTGAGGGTCCCCATCTCCAATGGCCTCAATGGAACAGGAAGCCACCTGCTTGTTATGTGTTCTCTTGTTTTCAGAAAATTCTTGGTAGTGGGATGCCGTTCCGTGTGTATGCTCCTTCAGATCGGATAGAGAACACCCAGTATGCCCTCGATACAGGAGCAAGCATTTTGCAAATGTACGAACGGATGTTTGATATGCCGTTTCCTCTACCTAAGAGTGGTAAGTTCCTAATCTTATATGTTTTGTGCTTATATGATATTTCTACCTACTGTGGTGCACATTGCCCCTTTACATGCAGTCATGCCATGAAAGGAACTCAAGGTGCTGTCCCCTGAGCAGAGTGGAGTAGAACCAGGAGTCTTCAGTCACCTGCCATCTGTACGATGCACTCCACCTGGCCACCATGCTCGTCGGACACGGAACAGAATCAGTACCTTCAGAAACTTAGGCCAGGACTTATTAGGAAACTTATTAGGACTCCTGTTTCCAGTGCCCACTATCTGAAACTCCGCCAAACTCAAACTGTGGCACTCTCTTTATATGCTGTCACTTGCCTGTGGGGGATGTGGCTGTGAATCCCCAAACTGGTCTTGTCATTATGCCGGGGTGGCTGTGTCATTGTCTCCATGGACATTGTCACCATGAGAATCAGCTGGTCACACCTGGTCTCACTTTGACCTGATATCTGGTGTTTTGATACACATGAGTAGGTACCTCACTCTCCAAGCGAAGCCTCTCCTACTCTCAATGAAAACTTTGTTTCCCCAGAGTAATTTGTATATAAACACTATGTAGTTGTGTACATTCAGCTCAGCCTAGTGGGCAAGTAGTTAAATAATAGAACTGGAGCTTTATACAGTATACAGTAATAATAATAATAATAACAAAGCACTTGATGAAAAGAAATGAGCACTGAAAATAAACAAAAAATGTAGCAACACTGGAGAAAAATACACCCTCTGACAGCTGTCTGCCAGATGCCTAAAAATAACAGGATTGAATTGGACCCCTCATTGCCTGTAATCTGAGAGACCCTATCTGGCTCTCACACTTGTACCATGGTCATCTATTACTCATCTGACCACCTCATTATCGACTACATCTTCTGGGACCTACAGCCTATCCTGCTGATTCCGTCACAGGTCCTACAGTGACTCCCACTACAGCTGCTGCTTCGTCAGATTCATCTACCACGTCCACTGCATCCTACTGCACTGCCCACTCAAACGCACCACTTGCACTGTGCAGGACCTACAGTTTGACTTGCCGACTCTCCATCACCATTCAACTCTAACAGTAATTTCCTTGTTGCTATGACCAACAGGGAATCCTTTAGTTCTTTAGTTTCCTTTAGGGAGCCGGTCGGCCGAGCGGACAGCACACTGGACTTGTGATCCTGTGGTCCTGGGTTTGATCCCAGGCGCCGGCGAGAAACAATGGGCAGAGTTTCTTTCACCCTATGTCCCTGTTACCTAGCAGTAAAATAGGTACCTGGGTGTTAGTCAGCTGTCACGGGCTGCTTCCTGGGGGTGGAGGCCTGGTCGAGGACCGGGCCGCGGGGACACTAAAGCCCCGAAATCATCTCAAGATAACCTCAAGATAACCAGTTCAACTAGCACACCTCTCCCTGTCCTTGATGCCGATGCACTACACACTGCCTTTTCACTTAATCACCACCTATGGCCCTGGTACATGAGCCCGTCCGCACACTGCCTGCATCTTAATTAGCACCAGATTTACATGGGAGTTTTGACATTTATTTTCAACACCTCACCAGGGAAGGCAACCAGTAAGTCGATGAGCCAAAACATACTATTGCTGGCTTCTAAAAAGACTGAATCTTTGAGGTCCATCAAAGGAACTTTCCCACTATGTAAACAAACAAAACCTCAACAAAATGAATTATTATTAATTCATTGTGTTGGGGAACAAGAAGCCAGAGTGTATTTGTACATGTTAGGCTTATATCAAGGGCACCCCCACATGGTCGAATTACTGACCCCACCCAGGATGCAGCCCCATGACGAGCTGACTAACTCCTGAGTACCTACTTACTGCTAGGTGAACAAAGGCATTAGGTGAAAGGAAATGTGCCCAACCATTTCTGTTCCACCCGGGATTTGAACCCAGAGTTCTCGATTGTGCATCAAGAACGAACTTGACTGTACTACCGGGACCCCTCAAGTCTCTATGAACTAGCACGAACTCGTTTTCCCCACCTCCCCCACTTGTTAGGGGGAAGGTGGGATAGCTCACTGCCAGTCAGCATTTACACCCTAACATAGCTAATGTAGTACATTATGTACACCCTACATAGCTAATGTAGTGTGTACTGGGTTTCCGCTCTTCTGTGCTGGCTCCGGTGTTCTTGATGGCATTTCCTGTACACTGTGGTGTAGTGAGAGTAGTTTTGAGGGTGCTTGGAGCTGCATGTGCACATGATTATCTTCCCCTGTGTGCTTCCTAGTACTGCCCTTGCATTGCCAGGGTTATTTTCCCCAGAGAGATTTAGAATTGTTAGCTTAGAGGTCCTCCTCACTTGTGGTGGCCCTGTGGTGGCTCGCCCTCACCCAAGGCGAGTCGTGTGTCTTGCAACTTTCCTGTCTTAACTTGAGTTGGGAGCGACTTTGGCTGGTTGGGTGCACTGGTGGTTCACACGCTTCTCTCTGTGCACTGAGGTTGGCCTTCACAGCTGTGTCACCCAGGCTGTATTGTAGCGTAGCGATCCTAGTGCCTGGATGTCCTTCTTGGGTTTGCCCTTCATGCCCTAGTAGTCCCCTGTGGGTTTGGTGGTCCTATGGATATTTCCCCCAGATTTGCACTCTTTTTTGTGCAAGTTTGAGGGTTGCTAGTTGTCCAAGACTTGATTAGGGTCCAGGGTGGGCCAAAACATCATCACTTTTCTTTCTTTTTATTTGTGCGCATCGAGTTATTTATCTGAAGATTACAATGTCACCTGAAGACCACATTAAGAACATTGTGCGAGGAGCCTATGCTACACTTTCTAACTTCAGAATTGCTTTTATATACATGGATGGAGAAATACTAAAGAAATTGTTCATGACTTTTGTTAGACCAAAGCTGGAATATACAGCGGTTGTGTGGTGCCCATATCTTAAGAAGCACATCAACAAACTGGAAAGGGTGAAACGACATGCCACTAAGTGGCTCCCAGAACTGAAGGACAAGAGCTACGAGGAGAGGTTAGAGGCATTAAATATGCAAAAACTAGAAGATAGAAGAAAAAGAGGCGATATAATCACTACGTTCAAAATAGTAACAGGAATCGATAAAATTGATAGGGAAGAATTCCTGAGACCCGGAACTTCAAGAACAAGAGGTCATAGATTTAAACTAACGAAACAAAGCTGCCGGAGAAATATAAGAAAATTCACTTTTGTAAACAGAGTGGTAGACTGTTGGAACAAGTTAAGTGAGAAGGTGGCGGAAGCCAAAACCGTCAGTAATTTCAAAGCGTTATATGACATGCTGGGGAGACGGGACACCACGAGCGTAGCTCTCATCCTGTAACTACACTTGGGTAATTACAATGTAGCTGGCTTAGCAAGAGGGAGGAAATGAGTCACTGATTATTTACCTGAATTTACCCGAGGGCCACTAATACTAGTGGCCTCGACAAGGACAGGAAGCTGGTGGTTTGTCAAAGGTCCCCTCATTTGTCCTGATGATCCTTTCCAGCTGTATTTTAAAACCCAACAGAGTTTTGGCATTTACGGTTTCAGCGGGTAGGCAGTTCCACGGGTTTACTCCTCTGTGGGTGAAAAAGCATCTCCTGTTTTCAGTCCTACATAGATTATATAGATGAATAGCCATGTAGAAGGATCATTTATGGACTTAAGTTTCTTCCTTTCCAGACATGGCAGCAATTCCAGATTATTCGTCTGGTGCAACAGAACACTGGGGGATCATAACATATCGGGAAACTTCTATCTTTTACAACGAAATGCAGAGCTCTGCTGCAAACTTGCAACGGGTAACTGCTGTCATATCCCATGAGCTCGCACATCAGTGGTTTGGCAACCTCGGTAAGAGATAAATGTATAAAATATCCTTGGCAGAGTTGATCATTCTTAGATTTAGGTAATGAGGATTATTAGTCTACAATTCTAGATCATGAATATGAAAGCAAGAATATACTGATAGAATATACATTCTCAATTGACTTGAGAATGGTCCAGGACGGACCGAAACGTCGTCGTCCCTTCACCTTCTAGTGTGTGGTCTGGTCAACACACTGATACACACTACTGTAAACAGAGAATAAGTCACAATAACATGGCTGAAAAAATATCCCAACCCACATGTATGAAATTAAGTAAAATGAAAGTGGCGACATATTAGTCCGTCCTGAACCCATATCAAGGCTAGAATTAGAGAGGTCAGGTAAGATGGTAAAATCAGGCAGTGACACTTGCAAGAGGTAGGAAGCGGAGACGTGAGGTAAACCCCAATTCTTGTACAATTTATAATGAGGGTAATGTGCAACTTTAATTACAACATGTGTAGCCTTCTTTATATAGCAATCAACCTTAGTAATTTTGCATGAAATAGGCAAAAAGTACAGTAATTAAATGAAAAATTTGTTGGCTGCAGTGATATTAACCTGTTTTATATGCATAATAAATTATATATTTTCTGGGAGGGAATCTCCAAGGACTCTCCAGAAACAGGCCTTTCATTACATTCAACGATGGTTTTCTGGAGGGCCCCTCCCCCTTCCCCGTGGCTACCTGAAGCTATCTTTGAGAATGCTCTGTACTGAAAGATCACATCTGTTGTAGAAATTCTGTTTGGCCTACCAGGAGCCAGGACCTGGTCCCCTCAGAGGTGCAAGGAGCGAGTGACAATCCATTACTCTACAAAAAAAGTCTCCAGGAAATCAGCAAAGCTTTATAGACAACGGGAGGGTTTACAGAAAATGAAGCTTCGAAAATGCCAAATAACTCGGCAAATGATTCACACAGAACATGGGGCTCACCTAAACTAGCTTGAAACTTGTTAACACCCGTTACCACCACTAGGCAGTCCGGCCCCAGCCCTCAGTCATATCCCATTGCAGTTCTCTTGCTAATGAGGCAGCATTTGGATCTGCCTGTAATGTTTCAGTCCATCAGTTATGAGCAAGCCCTGCCAAAGCCCTGGATGGCTTTGTCAGTTATCCTTTGACTCTGCTGTCCTGTGGGGACCATTTACTTTGTGTATTAATTGTGTGTTTTAGTATTGGCTTCATATGTGTGTTGTTGATGTGACTTCTTGTTGCATTTCAGGCTGCATGGGTTCAGGGTCTTCTTCACTGCATGCCTGCTAATACAGCCCTTGCACAAGAGTTATCTTCTCTGATGTTTGAGGGTTTGTCCTTGAGAGGCCTTATTACTGATTATAGCCTTCCGCTGATCATGGATCTTTTGATTCCTCTAAAGGATCTTTTCCTTCCTTTGAATCCTGGGACGGAACCAGATGGAGGAAGTTCCATCTGGTTCCGTCCCAGGTTCAGACCCGACTGGGTCTTGTTTGGGATTCCAGACCACTTCCATGTGTGTCTACCTCCGGAGGCATTGTTGCGGCTGCAGTCCCGCCTTCAGCTGTTTCGGGGAGGCAGGTTCCCGGGTCACTCGGCAGTTGCTCGAGCAGTTGTGTGGGAGTCTGGACTTCACCGTGATGGTTTACTCACTGGGTCGGGTTTGGCTTCAGCATTTGTTCTGGTTCCTTTGGGGACGCCCCTTCCGCCTCTCTCGCAATCCTTGGATTCAGCTTCTGGGGGAATTGTGCCAGTTGTTGCATTGCCAGCTTCCTTTTCGGGTTTTTCGAGATTCGGTGCCTTGGCACCTACTAGAGCCTTTGCTCGATGTGCTCATGGATGCGTCATTTCTCGGCTGGGGCTTTTTGACCAGTGCTTACCAGGCCGACCAGGGACGGTGAGGTCCGTCCTTCTGTAGGACTCACAGCACAGTGCAGAAGTTCGCGGCGATCTGGTTGTCGCTTCGTAGTGTTCGGGTTGCTTGGGGTTCAACCATTCGGTTCCATTCGGACTGTTCTCTAGTGATTTATTATCTGAACCGCAGGGATTACCTTAAGTCCTTGCCTCCTTGGGGCTGGTCGCTTCGAGTGGCTCATCTGCTGGATTCTCAGGATTTGGCTCTGCGTGTGGTTCATATGCAGGAAGTGTCCAACGTCTTGGCGGACACCCTGTCTGGGTTCATTTCCCTGTCCACGAAATGGATGATCAACACCAACTTTTTCAGTTGGCTCTAACAGATGTACGGGCTCCCTGAGGTGTACCTCTTCGCGTCGGTTTGGTTGAGGCATCTCCCGGTATATGTGACCCCCTTCCCCGAACGCAGGGTGTTTGCGTAGGACACCAGGACTGGTTGGGGTGGGGTTGCCTGTACCTCTTCCCTCTGGTCTAGCTGTTGCTTCGGGTTCTTGCTCAGTTGGAGTTCTACCACGGGAGAGTACGGGACTCTTGGCCCCTTGGTGGCTGGCCCAGCCTTGGTTTCAGGTGCTGCTTGCTCGGTGTCCTAACCCGCGGTGTTTTCCGCAGCTCTGTCTCTTTTAGTTGATCGGGCCAGTCTGGTACACGGCTGGTTCGGTCTTCTCCGCTCTTGGCGTCTGGTCTTTTTGATGCGGGTTTATCACCATTAGTATGGTGATCAAGTTGCTTCGTTGATGGTGTCCCACCTGAGAGCTTCGTCTCGGCGACGGTATGACATTTTCTAGCATTCTTTCCACCATTTTCTCTCTTTGTACGTTGTCTTCTCTTTCTGATCGGGTTGTCTTGTCCTTTCTGTCTTGGCTTTTTCAGGACCATCATTTAATGCCCAATACTGTTGCCTCGTATCATGCAGCGCTGGCAGAGCCGCTGCAGCTTGCATTTGGTGTGGTCACTTCTGCCCTGTTCCATAAGATTTCTGGTGCTTTGTTTCACCTTCGGCCTGCTTGTGTGCCCTTGAGCCATCCTGGTTCTTGGATAGGGTGCTCTCCTATCTCTCTTCTCCTCGATTCGTGGTGGTCCCTTCGGTTAAAGATTGTTTTTCCAAGGCTCTGTTTCTGTTTTCATTGGCCTCTTGGGGGTTGGGTCGGTGAGCTTCATGCTCTGCTCCGGCACGGGAGTTTCTGCTCCTTTGGTCCTGGTAGTCTGTCTGTTCGGTTGCAGCCTTCTCCTTCTTTTCTGGCAAAGAAACGAGAGGGGGTGCTTGGGTCGTTGATGCTTAGTTTGTCGGGCCGAGGGTGCATCATATGTTGTGTCCGGTTGCATCTCTTCGCCGTTACCTACGAGTCTTGGCTTCTGTGGCCAGGGATACTATTTGGGTTGATCCGGTTTCCCTCGTTCCCTGTTCCAGGGCTTGGGTCTTCCAGGTCGTCTGCAGGGTTACTAAGTCTAGCCTGCCTGCGGTCTATCCTCATGCCCATGATGTTAGGAAGTTTGCTGCTTTGGCTGCAGTCTTCGGCAACATGTCTTGGGCTGATATTCGGGCGCGGTGATTTTGGAGGTTGAACAGGGTCCTGGCTGCCTATTATTTGGTCAACATTCCTGGTCCTGGGTGTTCGTGTGTGACTTTGGGTCGCAGGTTGCTGCCAGTTGTCTCTCCTTCGAGTTGAGGAGCCTGTGGCGACCGCCTTCCGGGTAAGTCCCTCTTTTCCTTATCTTTGGTTATGTAGCTGCAGGGAGCCAAAGGGGCTCCCCACACTAAACCAGCATTGAATATAATGAAGCGCCATTTTCTGGGTGAGTCCCGGAGGCTCCCTGGTACCCTCCCTCCCTCCCTCTGGTTGGTGGGCCTCCGCATCTTCGGACTGGAATGTCTAGGTCATCGGCACGGGGGGCCTATGCAGAAGAGCAATACGGCGGTGAAGTGTGATGTTTGCTTGTTTGCTTGGGATTGGAGGAAGTTTTGTCTCTGTTCGGTTTTTGGTTGCAATTTTCTTACATGTGGTGTTTGTTTTGTTATGCCTACCTTTCTAGGCGCTTAACCTCGGTCGAAGGCAGATAAGGGAAAAACCCCCAACCACTGGAAAGTGGGGGAAGGGTTACAGGGCCATTGGTCCCTGTTCTTCTCCAAGGGGGCCAGGTCCTGCCTCGTGGTCCCCGGTAGGCTGAACTCCTATGACTGGTCTAATGAATTGCATATTAGCCCGATAGCCCCAGGGGGGTCCCTCTGGGGCTTACCCAGGAAATGGCATCTCATTATATTCAACACTGGTTTTTTGTTTCATCATTAGGTTGTTTATCAGCTCCAAAATTGAGATGGGGCTGGGGTCAGGCCACCTGGTGGTGGTAATCACTAATACCAAGTTTTGAATTAGTTTGAGTGAATTCCTTGTTCTGTGTGAATCATTTGCAGATTTGTTTTGCAGTTTTGAGGCTTCATGTTTTATGAACCATCCAGTTGTCTGTAAAACTTCGCTGACATTTTGAGGCTTTTTCCTGTGAGATGGTGGACTGTCTCTTGCTTTGTGTACCTCTGTCAGGTGATTCAGATTCTGGCATTAGTCTCCAGTTTGCCAAACAGAACTTCCACAACTGTTGTGATCTTTTAGTATGGAGCAATCTCAGCAAGATAGCTTCATTAACCCGTCAACTGCTTGGCTTCCAAATATGACACCCCCCCCCCTAGTTCCACAAGCGATGGAACTAGGCTGTCTTTGCTCCAATAATCCTGGACGACAGCTTTCTCGAAGTACTTCATCATCATGCTGAGTGCCAGAAACAAGTACATTTCACGTGTGTTTTTAACACGTTCGTAACACGTATGTTACGAGGGTAACACTCTCGCTGCTCGTACTCGGGTCGTCCACACTACTTGTATCGGAGCCTATGTCACTGAACCCCGAGAAAGAATCATCGCATGTACGGTCACTGAATTAACTTGCATCTGGGGACATACATGGTGGTGGTGATAACGATGTTGACCCAGGGTGGCGAAGCAGGCTGGGCGAGGCGCGTGTACCATACACGCTCGCCACATCATCCACCTCCGTCTCTCCCCTCACTCGTATTAGACCCCTGTGTCAGGTCTTTCTCTGGATCATAGTCTAGGTCATCATCCATAGCACCGCCATCGTACAAAATGTGGCATATCTCCTCCTCAGAGAGTCGTTTTCCATGACCGTGGGTCACCGTGGAGCGGGAGCTCGTAGACGATGTGCGAGACATGGTTGCTGCTTTGAAACTGAGGCTCCCCACGGCCGCGGGGCATGCTGGGATTTTTTTTCAAGATGGCGGACGATCACTGGGGCCCCTCCAGGCATCCATTTCGTACCCGCGTCACCACGCGCCAGTTTTGAATGGAACATGAAAAATAAAAATACCCGGAGGCGCGCTGCGCACCCCAGACGAGGGCCTGCAGGTACATTGTGCAGTTGAGAGGTTAAGCCACCAGGGCTCTTCCAGAGAGGGGCATTTCAATATATTCGGCTCTGGGTTTATTGTACTATATTACAGTATGTTCATTAATTGTATGTTAACACTTTGGTGCACCCCGCTCGCCACCCCTCAACTGTGCGATATGGGACCCAGGGTGTCACGTAAGTGCGCGTAAAATCTGAAAAGTGTATACTCTCATCAACTTTGTCACCTTAATTCTCGTCCTACGAGATTAAGTTTGGTATTATTGTATTCGCAATAGAATTCTCTTCAGCACTAAATGCATATAAACTCCAAAAGCCCGGCTAATTACCCGCAGCAAACAGAGAAAGTGCGAACGAGTTACCCAGGAGCGCGCAAACGCGATAAAATGTTTTCACTATTTTCACTCTGGTCATCTTAATTTTTATCCTAGGTCTTTTATTTTGGTCTCAATGGGTTCGCAATAGAATTCTCTAGAGGAACATTAGCATATCAAATAAAAAACCTGGTCATGCTCCAACCGCCGACGAGTTGAAGACAGGCCACGCGTTAGCCGCGAGTGAGTTCTCAGCCGCTTTCCACCTACACTCCCAATTCCCGCCCTTTTCAAGCCTTTCTTTCGCAATTTTCTTCCTGGAAGGGCCTTGTTCATGATCACTATCCATCGTGGAGTAAGCATAGATAGTTTCTAAAGCCGCAGTAAGAAATATAGCCACGGAAAATAGGCGAAATGTTCACACGTTAGAGATGCGAGGGGAGGCGACATTGGTCACAACAGTGGAGCGAAAGCAATGGGCCCACGGCATGTGCCAAGCCACCTGAGGGCCACGAGGCTCAACAAGAAAAATGGGAAGACATCGGCGCGCATTTTAAAACCAGTCCCCAAAAAATCGGAAAAAACCTGATTTTTGGCGATTATTTAAAGTGGATGACGCAATGCTGCGTCATCCCCGGATGTACCGCCAGTAAACGGATGACGCAATGCTGCGTCATGCCCGGGCGAAAGTGTTAAGAAGAGGATGAGGATGAGAAGTCTAAGGTGAGGTGATGTTTGTCATTTTCTTTCATGATAACTGTTCAACCTGTCCTCCTACAAAGAATGTTGCAGTTTTGCATTTGCAAATGTTGCAAAGGAAATGTTTAATTGAAAATTGTGCTTTCATGTATGACTAAATACTGTATTGGAGTTGAAATATAAATGTTTAAGAACTATTTTATGAAATATAATTTTAGTTTTATTTGTAACTTTTAAAAATTAATAATTTTCAGTAACACTAGAGTGGTGGAATGACCTGTGGCTCAATGAAGGTTTTGCCAGCTATGTGGAGTATAAAGGCGTTGATTATATGTATCCAGACTGGGATATGGTAAGTTTATCCTATATCCTGTTAATATGCTCATAGATACAGTAAAATTACTTGATAAATCTATATGAAAATACAGTATCGAGGTCATACAATGGAATCGAACCTGCATCCCTGGTGCGCAAGCTAAAGGAGTTGAGAAAGTGGGTTTGAGCCCATCGTAAAGCCTTAACATTTTCTCATTCTCTTAAATATTCATGGTTTGGGTTCCCCCTCTTGCCTCCCATTATTTAAATACAGTACTGTATACAATACTCCATTTGTCTTTATTTTCTTACTACAGTATATAAAGCTTCCTCACTTTAGCATAAGGTCTCAACTTATCTTCCAAAGTTTTGGACTGTACATATTTTACTGTTCTTCCATTATCAAAGTAGTATTACATATACATTTCAATAGTTTTGTACTTATTCACTAATTGTTAGTAAGAATTTTAAGATGTTCAGGAACTTCCTAAGATGCTTATAATAATATAATAATTCATTGTGTCATGGGACAGGTAGGCAGATTGTGTGTGTATGTATGTATGTGTGTGTACTCACCTAATTGGTGAGTGTGTGTGTGTGTGTAGTTAGGTAAATGTTGTGGGTGTCATCCTGGGAAAGGTCAGGGGTTTGATCTTAAAGTGACCTTGATACAAGCCTAAATACTGTACAGGCTTTCCTCTCACCAACAACACAAATTTAAGAATCTGTATAGAAAATGTGATGTGATGTGTGCAGATGATATAGTTTTGTAATGGATGATGCTGATGATAATAATTCATTGTGTTGTGGGACAGAAAGCCAGAATGTATTCATACACATTAGGCTTATTTCGAGGTCTCCCCCCCCCCCCCACCCCACGTTACTGACCCTGCCCAGGATGCAGCCTCACAACAAATGGACTAACTCCTAGGTACCTATTTGCTACTAGGTGAACAGGGGCATTCGGTGATAGATAATGCGGCTGTATCTATTTCTGTCCCACCCGGGATATAAACCTGGAATTCTCGAATGTGAGTCTAGAATGAACCCGATTTTCAACCCCTCCTGGGGGCTTAATAAACCTGTCCTTGATAATAAAATTAATTTGTATTTAATTAGTAAAGAATCAGGTCCTGAGGTTACTTAGCAAATATACACACACATACACTTGGGAAATGTATTTGCAATTTTGACATTACAGTATTTACCAGCTTGCTTTTCACCTATCATTTCTGGGTCTTAATGATATTGTTACTGAAGTAGGTTATTATATAAATGGTTACCTTAGTATTAATATTCAATTATAATTATTAATCGATTACTAATGTGGATTTTTGAGTGTGAGGTAGGTCCCACGATTCAATGACAGCTGGGAACCTATATTGACATTCTCAATGGCTCTTCATGTCTAATATTTTTTTACGCTGCTCTGGCAAGCAGGTGATGGTGTCCCAGGTGTGGTTTGGATAAAAATTTCCACAACTGGCTTTTGTGTTGGTTTTTAATTGATGGATGCATTATAATGTGAACTCTTTGTGTGTGTTTTAGGATGCCCAGTTCCTGTTAAAGAGTCTGCAGGTGGTGATGGAAATAGATGCATGTCTTAGTTCTCATCCCATTGTGAAGCTGGTGACTACAACTGACCAGATTAACGCCATGTTTGATGCAATATCTTACAAAAAGGTGATTGTTTCATAATATAGTGTTAACATTTATTAGGAGAATAAGCCACTATAATGTGGCTGAATGATGACCCAAATCACACATGTGAAAAGAAAGGAAAGGGATGATGTTTTGGTCTTCCTGCTCGACTTGATAAGGGTTTTTAAATGAACGAATTGTCATCATTTTCTTTTTGTTTCATAATTGTGGGCTAGGTTATTAAGATATATCTTGCTACACATATGGCTTAGAAAATTAATACAGTATAGATTATCAGATATGTCTTAGAATTGTCAGACATAAAATATATATCTAATCTAATATACATCATATACAGTGACACCTCAGCTTACGAATGCCCCCATTTACAAACTTTTCGAGTTATGAGCCCAATTTCTATGTAAAATCAGAATCGGTTTACGAGGTTTGCCTTGGGAAACGAAGTTTGTTGATACGCGTATGGCCAACCTAGCTCGTGGTGGCACGGTGATCACACCTCAGTTTACTAGTGCCTCGTTGACCAAACCACACACTAGAAAGTGAAGGGATGACGACGTTTCGGTCTGTCCTGGACCATTCCTAATTCGATTGTGAGACCGTCCGGGACCATTCTCAAGTCGATCATTCACAATCATGTTGAGAATGGTCCAGGACGGACTAAAACGTCGTCGTCCCTTCACTTTCTAGTGTGTGGTTTTTGTGTGTGGTCCCTTCACTTTCTAGTGTAGTTCATATTTCAGCCACGTTATTGTGACTTCTCGCCTACCAGTGCCTCCTGCCTAGTGACAATTGCGCCTGAATTCTTTGTAAAGAATTAGTTTTTTTTTTAGGTTTTTGGGTATTTGAACATAATAATTGTTATATATCTCACCATGGATCCCAAGAAAGCCAGTGGTAAGGTTCAAGCCAAGAAAACACACGTGAGAATGACGATAGAGGAAAAACGAGATCATTCGTAAACATGAAAATGGTACACAGGTTGTTGAACTAGCTAGGCAGTACAACAAATCTATGTCAATGATATGCACTGTAATTGCTAAGAAAAGGGACATTATGAGTGTTAAAGTGGCAGAGGCATATCAACAATCGCAAAACAAAGAACACAAACGCTTGAGGATGTTGAAAAGTTGTTATTAATTTGGATACACAACAAGGAGTTAGCCGGTGATAGCATTTCAGAGGCATCATTTGTGAGTAAGCAAGGCTATTGCATGAAGACCTTTTAAAGAAAATCCCCTGGAACAAGTTATGCAGATACGAAAAAATTTAACCACTTAACTGCGCCAACCGAGTATTCTCGGTCGGCAGGAAACTGCGCCAACAGAGAACTCTTTTTGATTTTTCGGTACCAATTCTAAATGTGTACGAGGTTGGTTGTGTACGAAATGGACTCTTAGGACTTCCAGTGAAAGGTAGCCATCTTTTGAAAAAAATTCCAGAATGCCCTAGGGCTGCTGGCTGGGTTAGTACTGAATGAGCAACCATGGGTGGCGCACGCGCCTCTGGCTCCCAGACACCTGTCCTACGCGGTGTTGAAAGATAACGCTCTGTCAGTGAAATTCAAACCTTATTGTTTGAAGAACATAAGGGTCATAATATTGGTGAAGCTAGGTGCAATAAGGACCTAACACAAAGGTCAGATGCAAGTGATACAGCACCTATGAGGATGATTCAGCGAGCGTATCCAGTTGTAGCTCTGAGCGTCACCCTTGCAATCCTATGCTATCTCCAATTTATTTGGATGATACATAGATGAATCATTTTCTGCATTCAGTGATGATGCATCTGATACAAGTAGCATAGATGAACAGTGTTAGCGACTTCCATGGTGGTGTTTTTCATAGCTATTTTCAAGAATACCTGAATCTCTTCTTCACTGACGGACACTTTTTGAGACAAGCTGAATCTCTTCCTGTGTAGGACCATAAGCGATCTTTTCAAGACTACCTTACAAATTGATCTTTTCCTATAATCTTTTCATAACTACCTTATGCTTTACAAGCTTGGCTATATACAACCTACAAGTACTAAAGCCAAGGGTGTACGTGAGTTCATTATTTGCAAGCACACAGAAGGAAGAAACAGGAAGCAAAAATTTATCTGTACCTGGTGCACTGAGAGCGAAGTCACGCTGTGCACCATGGACTACTTCATTATTACTCACTTGCGAAGTACTGAGTGTGTAATACAGTGTGTTACTGTGTAAATAGTGTGTGAAACTGTACATACTGTAATTTTAGTGAATTTTTAACAGGTAATATTGCGACAATAAACATTTATTGTGGACACATTACTAACACATGTATCACAGTTCCATGGAACATTATGAACATTATACTGTATACATATTGTAAAGGACACAAATATGCATCATATACGATAAAAAACAAACAAAACCGCATTGGAAATACATAAAACAAATAGTTGAAAATATATTTGTGGCAACACTCGGTGCTTGAATGGCCTGTGTGACCGTGTCTGGGCGAGTCACGCACGGGCGACCAGGCCCTGATGACATCACAGCGCACCTTGTCCACGTCCCCACAGCCAAAGTAAGTGGAATTTAGTATTTATTTTTACATAGACATGTTCAGGGAAGGGAATTTATCATTTTACGAAAAAAAAATAAAAATTTGGGAACACTTTATTTCATGCGCACCGGGGGAATTTCACAATAAACTCAGCGCAGCACGGTGGTTAAGGCAAGCAGGGATGGTTTGAGAAATTTAGAAAAAGAAATGGTATTCATTGTATAGTGAGGCACGGGGAGGCTGCCAGCTCAGACAAACCAGCGGCTGAAGGATTAATTGACGAATTTAAAGAGTTGGAAGGGGACTTCCATTCCAAACACTAATATCTCTCCTCCTCCCCCTCTCCTCACCCTCTTCCATACGCCAACAAAAGTCATCAGTAAAGGTAAGTAATAACTTGCACATACTTTAGTACAGAAGATTTGTGTGAATTAGGTATAAAATTTACTTTGAAGGTAATTTTACTGAGAGAAGCCCCTATGGCTCCCTGGAGCTTATTGGGCTAATGCATTTTATATTAGACCTGGACATTAGCTATGGAGTTCAGACCTACCAGGGACCAGCGCCAGAACTTGGCCCCTTCAGAGAGGTTTCAGGGAGCAATGGCCCTGGAAAACCCCCTGTGGTTGGGGTTTTTCCTTATCTGCCATCAACTGGGATTAGACACCCAGAAAGGTAGGCATAACAAAACAAACCCCACATGGTAAGAAACTAGCAACAAAAACCAAACAGAAAGGTAGAACTCCCTTCAATCCCAAGGAAACAAGCAAACAAGCAAACATAACACTACTGTCACGCCGCTTGTCCGCGCAGCCTTTCCCTCCCTGAGAGGGGTAGGGGGGCCCCGGACCTCACCGCGCCGGCTGCATAGCACTCCAGTTCGTAAGCTAATGTCAACCAAGACAGACGCTTCTCTGGCCTCAGTTTCCTAGGCGGTGTTTGCCTTTGTGGTGCTCACTGCCGTGTTTTTGTGTTGTGTGGTGGCCAGGTGTTCCTCATCAGTACCGGGTTTGCATGAGCTTAGAGGCTTCTTTCCTTAAGCGCCCTGCGAGTACTACTACCAGGGTTATCTTCTCTGGAGCGTTCAGGCATTAGCTTCGCCCTTGGAGCCAGGTGGGGCTTGGGGCTCTTGTTTGGACTTGGGTAGGGACTGGTATTGTGCTGGTTGGGGCGTCAAGGTGTTGCGCGATCTGCTACGTACGTGGAAACCGGTTTCTGTTGCCTCTGGGAGCGGTGTACATTTGTGGGGTTTTTCTTTTCATTTTATTTTCATTTGCTTGGTGGGGGGTCTACCTAGTGTGGCTATAGTCCCACTGGTATTATTTTAGGGCCCTTTGCTAGACCCCTGTGATTGTATACGTCGCAAGGGTTTTCAGTGTTAGCATCTATCCCTTGTTAGCTTTAGGTGTTAACCGGTTAGCGACACCTTGCCTGGGCTTCCCGTAGTTGTCACCCTACGGCCCTGGAAAACCCTGTCGGGGCTCGGTGGACCGGTGGATATGTCTTCCGGGTTCCAATCCGTCTTGTGCGGGTTCATTGGTTACTGTGCCCTTGTCTCAGAGTGATAGGTGCCTCTTTTTACCTTCGTCATGCTGCTTGTTGGGTCACTGACAACTTGACCCGGAGTCTTGCGAGTTGTTCTCTGCTTGTTCTCCAGTACTCTCCTGATGTCTTTACTGTTCAGAGTACAGGCGGCATCAGCGTTGCATGCTTGGTTTAGCGCTGCAATGCGCTAGGTTGGTTTCCCACCCAGATGCCCCGGGGCCACCCCATTTTGGTTAGGTGTTGTTTACCCCTTTCCCCTCCCTGTTCCTGGCTCCTGACTGTCTGCGGGTTTCGGGGTAGGGGCGGGGTTTAGTTGGTTCAAAGACTCGGGCGGCATCGGGTGCTGCCTCGTTTGGGTTGGGGATGGAGGTTATCGAGCCTGTTCCTCCTGCCGAGGCTTCTGGGTCTTACCAGCAGCCCTTTCTTGCTGCCTTTTCCCCTGGGCTCTAACTTTTCTTTAAGGGTAGAGGGCATGGAGGACGACTCCCACCCCCCGGGGCTTCTGTTGCGGGTTCCTGGGGCTGTGGGGGATGCCCGCTTATAGTTCTGGGGCTGTTTGCCCCTGCCTGGGTTTTCTGCTTCTGGGCGGGGTTTTTTGTCCCTCTCGTATGCTTATTTCCCACATTTGGTGGCGTGTTTTTGGATCTATTGCGTCGGTCGCAGCTCCTTTGTTCTGGTGGCACTTTTCTTTCTGCGGGTAGCTTCCCCGCCTGGGCACCGGGGCGGCACTGCGGTTTGTTTACCTGTGCCTGGGTGTGCTAGCTCATGTTTTGGGGGTGTTTTTCACCTTCTTCAGGGGCTTTATCCTCCTGTTGCCATTTCTTTGCTTTTTCTGGGGTGTTTTGCCTTTCTTCTGTTCCTCTGGGAACGCTTGGATGTTGGTTTTTACACCGGTTTCTGTGGGGAGCCCCTACGGCTCCCTGGAGCTTATCGGGCTAATGTGTG